AATGTCAAACATTTCCCTTTCAACCATCACTATATCCACTCAGCTAGCCAGCTTGCGAGGCATATATCGAAGAACCAAACCACTTAAATACATACTGCATGCATGTTGTTTTGGCTATTCCTATTTTTAATTGTACTTAGATATGCATTAACTACAGAAATTCATAAAGAAATTGAATTTTGAGCTTGTAATATTGGAAAACACAGTTTCCAAGTCGGTGTTTCTGACCAATGCACGCTAGACTGGATCGCAACTTTCTGTTACAAGAATTGTTTTTAAAACTCGCCAACTGGAAACTCCTCCTCTTCAACCACTTTTGCTCTTTTGCTTCTCGTTTTAAATCTCTGTTAAACATTGCTGGCGCATAGAACGAATTAAAACTTTCCGTTCTTACACGGAATATACGAAGTAGGTAACTATTTTCGCGATTTTCAAAATTTGTTTAAGATAGAGATTTTTTTTCCTTTTTCAATAAAAAATACCTCATATTGCATCAAATAATGGCTAAAATGTGTATAATCAAACTGGAATTAAAGTCCCATCACGTGATTTATGTGTTAACTTAAGGATGGTTTCTGTGTAAAATCACTTTTGCTATGTAAACTTGGTATTGACCTATGAATTATAAAGTACAGTTTCTTCTAACGCTATAAGGACAGATGTGTTAAATTTTGTATGATGAGATATCCTATTTGATCATAGTTGAATGTACCTATCCGAGCGCGCAACCGTCTAAATTAATTTTTCTCCCTTAGTTTTTGATTCTAAGATGGTATTATGACATCAAAGATGCTTTAGTTTACTACACGTTGTCTTTCCTCGTTTGGTTGGTTATTGGCGTATTCGACAAAAATAAGGAGCTCAATTTAACTACGTTCATTTCCATACCAATCCGGACTACAGCTTTGCGACGAGTGGAGTGAATACTTAAACAATAGTCAACAGTTTTAACCAGCACCTAAATTAATCACATTAACGTTATGTAATTATTCACGGCCGTAACCACCCTTGGGGGGAGGGGGGGTAATGGTCGCGTGACAGCCGATGCTAAGGACTCGATGCTATTTTAGTGAATTTGACACGAAAATGCAAAAACGCCGTGTGATCAATACAGCAATACAGCGAATGGCGAGTGTTGGCCTGTAATTATTGTTGTATACACAGCTGGGAGGCGATATTTCCCTACGTAAGTCTACATTTGTCGGAGCATGACACAATAGAGGCTTTAGGCTTAGCAACGGGTGTTATATAGATATGTAGGAGAATGGTAGTGCTCGCCTGGTAATCAAAAGATCGCCGTATTCATCCCGCGAAAAGTTATTTGCTTTTTGGTAGTGACCTGGCCCCAACTGTCCTTGATCATTGGCTTTTAATAAATGGTCTTACATCCATGCTTAATTTATATTTGGGGGCAAGATATGCCCAGCAGCTTCATCGTAATTGATATTAGCTCATCTAACGCTGAATGTGAATCCAAGAAAAAGTAAAATTGGATGAATGATATAATAAGATTTGTTCACGACTGCAACGAGCTGATTCATTAGCCACACAAAGTCCTGTGATCAAGCACAGCTTGGCTCAGTTTGAACGCCACTAAATGTTCTCAGGATAGAAGGCCAATTTTTGCTTGTCAGAAGCACGTAAATTATTTAGCTACCCAGGCCTGAAATTATTTTTAAAACGCTCATAACAAACGCACGTAAAACTTTGTATTTTTCTGTCATGCTAATAAATCAATAAAATAGTTTTTCTACAACATCGAAACTTTGGAACTTTCCTTGATGAAAGAGTCCTGAGGGCTTTTAGAATATGGAACAGACGAAAAATCTTCATATGCAAATGTTGACCATTTTCCTTGAGTATTTCACGATAGGATAAATGGTTTGGTAATTCAATAAGTCATACAGACTTACATTTTTTTTATTACTATACAGTAGGAGTAGATGATTCGCTAAGCCTGCTGTTTAAAGATTAGTACTAAACCTAAAGTTTTGAAAACTGTGTTCTATTACAATTATTACAAATTGTAATTAATTGGAAATTTCACGTGTTGCGAACAATAGATGCTACTGCACCTAATCATCACAAATTTAATTACAAAGATATTTATGTTATGAAAATAATTATTTACTGTGATTCGTAATGTTATGTGAATCGCATGAATCTAGGTTCATTGTGGTACCGTAGTTTTCTTTGTTAAATAAGCCGCCACGCAAGTTTATCTGGTGGAACAATATCTATTGTTCTAATTAATCTTCAGATTTGTTATTCTATGATGGAAGTAAGCATAACGTAATCCCAGCACAAAGACACGAATTAGAAGATTCTATTGATATAGGCCTTCTACTGTATAATATGAAATGTTATTTTATTCATCCTATATTGAAAGGACTTGTTTCTCCTCGCTCTCGTCTACGTTTTCAAAGCCAGTATTTCAAATTGTAGCTAAAACCTATCATTGATTAGCGTATTTTCTAAAAAATATATATAATATTATATAGAAAGATTAGTTAACACTTAATAAAATCTGGATTGACTGTACAAAAATGCTTTGAGGTAAAATGCGTCACCTTCAGCATTCGTTAGAGTTATTATCAAATTATCAGTAATTAGGAACACTTCCCGTACGATTCTTTTACTAATGATGGTATTGCTTGATAATTACTTTCAGTGTCGTTTAAACTTAGTAGTTTTACCAACTCAATACAGCTTTTCTGTCTGAATTCCTTGATGAATTAATTTAATATTGTTCTATGTTCATTTGTTTTTGTTTCCCATATTTTCCTTCACTAAACTACAGAGAATTCGGTCCGGGTCAACAACTAAGTAACATTATTCTATCTATCTATGTACATATAGCCTACCTTAAAGTTAAAATGTCCTCCATATAACAACAAAATCAATCGCAACCAAGTATTATTGAACAATCCTGACCTCTAAAAGCATTGATAAATACAACACCTCAGCTCCATTTTACGTTTAGTGTTAGCGTTAAACGTAATTTTGACGGAGATGCAAAAAATCTCTATTACCAGGTAATGATTACGTTACGTTAAGTTACACCTCATTTGTTTTTGCTTAGCCGTTATAGACAAGTGATAGTAAAATCTTTTGAGGTAGACAACAGTTGTCTGGAAATTGTTTGAAATTTTAATTATCTGCCACACGTATAAAAGTGTTTTCCTTCACCTTCACCGAAGGTTTTACGTTACTACGTCGTTACGTAACGTAAAGTTAGCCTCAACCGTAACGCTAGAGGCGGGGTTGTGTCCTTGGTTGAGGAGATCGATCAGGCCGGCGCATGCTTCTACACCTGGCTGTCATGCCTCATGCCGTCCTATGCTCATGCCGTCACATGCCTCATGCCGTCATAACCACACACTTGATCCTTATATTGATCAACACCTATTGAACTGTCACTTCAGTTTGAATATCATTAAACTCATATTCAACTTGCTCTACTGGGTCGTTATACAGTGAAGAGATGTTTAAATGGAATATTATACTGAACTTACAATGGGGTGGTTTATTTTATTTAACTTCTTGTTTATTTTCGAAGGTGTACTTTTTAGATTGGTTAAACCGTACAAAGTTTTCCCACTAAAAATAAAATAAAAGAAGTTTGAAAAAATTATAAACCAAGTGTGTTTTACAAGTTATTTTATAACATATTTTTTTTAGAAAATGTCTCGATACATTTATTTTTAATATTGGTAGTTTGGTAGTCTTAAAATATGCAAAAATCTTTTTACTTTTCACAAAGATTTTTCAAGAGTGTATTTATTTAAATCGGTCTCATCATTATTAGGTATTGTAATCTAGGGACTGTTAATGAGATATTTTTCTGGAGTCGTTTTTTCTCATTGAGGGATTATTGTCAAAGGATTCTATTGTCTATTGTTTTAGGAACTATTTTATGAAAGGACTAAATTATTTTTTGTGAAACATTCACCGAAGATATGTAGGTACTTGGGTATTTCATTATTGTACCTGCTACACACCCTTTTCTACATGTAATTATTTTTTCATTTAACTGGTGAAAAGAGGGAATTGATTTTCTGTTAAGTTATTTCCTGACATTCGCCAGGACTGCTGGAGAGCATCCAAGCTTCCAATTCAGAAACCAATTACAGAGAGAGTGAACCAACTGTTTGCTGAACTTTTGCCAGAATAAACATATTTGATGCTAATGAAAGATACGTTTATAATGTTTTTATAGGTAATGATTATAATGCAAACTTATTTTATTGACTTACAATTCCTATTTATAGGAGTAGAATTCCCATCCCTTTGTCAAAGATGTAGCCAGTGATTGAGCAAAAATAAATATATTAGTCTTGAGCCTCAGTTTTATAGTTGTTTGTTAATTATATTCCAAACTCCACATATTCACGTTCCCTGTAATACCAATAAGTAGGATGTTTTAACCTATTTTACCACATTGTCTAACTTTATTTACTGTTGAATATTCTCAATAATTTTTGATATTTCTGTAAAGCTTTCACCATAACAATTCCTATGTAAACTTTAATTAGGCTTTTTCCACTCATGTTTTCATGTAATCACCTCACAATCTGTATTAGCATTTCCACTGTGTGTGTGTCTCTGAATCACATTAAAATAGGTTGTGGGTTTTTGGTAGGATAGGAGACTTACCTGAATAGGAAAAAGTCTACTCTGGAAAATGCAACACAAAGACGTTACACTTTATACACAAATTAACTTATATGACTTTACTACTTTACTGTAACACAGCATTTTATACCTCTCTTCCCACAAGAAGACCTCTCCTCTTCCCAATTTCCTCGGTTGAAAGTTCTGTCAAAGACAGAGAAACATTTTGTCTACAGTGTAAAGTTTTTGTGTTTCTTTTGCCAGAAGTCAACTCTTACCCATTGAGGTAGCCCTGCTATCCTACCACACCCTTAAAACTAAGCCCCTGTGCTCTGTGTTACATCCCTGATTTGTCTGACTCTACTAACTCTACGTGTTATTTACAGCACAATGCCTTCAGACAGCATGGACGACATAGAGCTGCGTAACATCCAGCTACAGTTTCCCTCCGTAAGGTCGCTGAGTAGAGACGACCCGTCAGTGGAGGAAGTGAGGGTGGAGACAGACAGAGGCAGTATAATGGTGGCAGTGCAAGGCAACCGCAGCAAACCTGCCATCCTCACCTACCACGACCTCGGCCTCAACTGTGAGTACAATCACTATGGAGAGCTAAAGACATAATTTAATTTGTAGCTAGCTTTGTCAATAACAATGATGAACACCGTTGGATTCATCCACAGACTGAGTGTGCTGTTGCAATTTATAATTTCTGTCATATATACTGACATTACCTGGCCTAATTGAAAGGACATGTTATTGTATTGGAAGCTGTATAATCTTTTAAGATTTAGAGCATGTTTGGTCCTAAGGCGAAATAACCTCAGCGGCCCCTGCCTCTTAGGCGGAACTTCCTTGCGATCACAGTAAAATCGTGAATATTTATTTCCATGATCATGGGCCCATCATTATCGCCACCTTCGATTGAGGCGAATTAATAGTGTTCTAAGAAATTGTCCTTGTACAAAACGCTGTTGGTGGTAAATCCAGTACTGGCTATGAAAAACTAAAAGGAACATATTTATGGCTGTAGCTGCCTACACATGGTTAGTATGGATGAAATGTCTAACCAAGTATCTATAAAAGTCCAATAGTACAGTGAATAATAAAAATGTTTTCTAATTTAAAACATAGTAGGCCTAGCTAATTTCTTATGGTAAGTCTGTACAGTCTTTGTACGTTTTGCCCACAGAGCTAGTGATTTCTCAATATGCTATTGCTTTTAGGATTAAAATAACTACAAGCAGGGACAGCAATTGTCCATTAGGAGTGTAGAATGGGGGGGATAAATACACAGAAGGCACGGTTGTATGATACATAAACATTACATTTTATCATAATCCTTCTAAAAGTGGGAGGTGCATCTACATCACCAAGTTGCCCTAATTGTAGTCACTGACTAAACGTTTTATTTTATCATGGTACATTACAGTTAAATGATCCCAGTTGAGTTGACCATAGGTAATGTATGTTACAGATGTAGCTAGTTTCCAAGCGTTTTTCAACTACAGTGACATGAGAATGCTACTGGAGAACTTCAGTGTTTACCATGTAAATGCCCCAGGCCAGGAGGAAGGGTCTCACCCTCTACCTGACGAGTAAGTCTTCTTGAGTAATGAGGAGTAAGGTATATGGATGAAAATGAGTTTCTATAGTTTCAGTGTTATATCTAGAACCATATATAAATATAGGCCTACTTTGGAAAGTATATGAACACACTAAAGATTTGAAAAAACCTTTAAAAACTTATAAAAAAATAAAATAGTAGTGTTGTTCCTCATTGCATCCTGGGCAATTTTACAGTTTTACAGCTACAATCTCATCCAAAGTAAATTTTACAGGTTTGTTTAGTCAAGAATGAAGGATGAGTGTGAAATGGAGTGAGATGCCTTGTGTAGCTTTGTTTCAGCTTTGTTGTGTCTTCTGTCAGCTGTTTCTTAAACCATGACCATTTATTTTAAGTCCAATCATAAGGGACATCTTGGTACTGCCTTTTTCACAATCTTCTGATTACTAGGCAATCACTTTACACACTCAGCTACCCAGCTTACTAAGACGCTAGAAATGTAGCTCAGACTGTGAGGCAAGATAAACAACCGACTTGACAAACTGTAAACAAATCTGGTTGAAACTGGTTTCTTCCAGTTACAACTGGACCTTATACCTGCTGTGATTCACCTGATCAGGATCTAGTTGCCATAATACAAGCTATTTACGTTATCGAGCTATTTACGTTATCGTTATTGTTGGCATATCTTGTATTGTCAGATTAACAAGCCTAATAATATTCTTAATAGAGCTTGTTGAAAAGTATATGATAATTTTTATCGGAATTACTAAATGTTTATATGACAAAACCAAGTTCGATGAAATATTTAAAAATCAGTAAGATATTTAAATGTATATATACAGGTAGTCTTGAAATAAGTCATTATTTTTTAATAATAACTGTGTTATATATTCATAATAACTGTGATTTATAAATCAGACAAAGTTCTTTTGTAAGCTCGATTTATGAATTGTTGACTTCTGTGATAGAAGTTTTTTACAGATTTTGTAATCACACAGTAAATGTTTTTTTTACCATAGCAGTATGCAAGCATAAATACTTTTTTGTGCATTTCTATAATTTCACAGTCCTAAAGATTGCTGATTCAATTTTCACGGGCTCGATTCTGTAACCAGATGCTATTTTTCATTGGTTCATCAACAAATGATGCTATCCAATAGTTCATTGCTAGTCCAATAAATTTATAGCCACAAGACTAGAGTTTGGACCCCTTACAAAAACCTAAAATATGCCACCAGTATGAACTTTTACACAAAATACAAAAATAAAATTAGTATCTTTACATTCCAGTTACGAGTACCCGACAATGGACGAGCTAGCTAACCAACTAAACTTTGTGTTGAGTCATTTTGGACTCAACTCTGTGATTGGGCTCGGGGTTGGTGCCGGGGGCAACATCCTGGCGAGGTTTGCCCTCAATCATCCCAACAAGGTACAGTCTTAACAAAATTATAGCGATTCAACATTTGTATTGGCTACTATTTTTATTTTTTTAATATACCTATAACTAACATTAATTAGAAAAAAGTTGGTTTTCTTTGGGAAAACTGTTGTACAGGGTACTATGGCTTGAAGTTAGCATGTTCTTTCACCAACAACAGCAATAGGTGGCATGCAGATTCCTCCTAATAAAATCCCTGCTCTAAGAAACCAGTTTTGCCCAGTGATATGGTTGCTCGTAACTCCTGGAAGTATTAAGTAGAGACAGGTCTAAGATCACTCATAAGAGTGTAGGTGAAACTAACAACAAATTTTATATTGATAAATTAGTTAGTTGATTGATTATCTTTAACATGCAATATCAAGTGTATTAATTGAGCTCACGATTGAGATGATGCAGGGCTAACTTGTAGTGCTAGTGCAAATTTAATCTTGTTCAAAATCATTCATAAATTTGGTGTAATCTAGTTTTTAAAATGAGAATTCGCCCCTGAATAACCATCAGAATGACAAACTCTTTCATTTCGCAAACACAACAGAGGAAGAGCAAACCAAACATAATTAAATGACAATAGATAATATGCATGAACAGTTAAATTATTGTACAAACCTAAAGATGCTCTCCTTTTTTCCATACTACGTAGCTTTGCATATTCATAATCTTTTCTATGGGTTCAGGTTGAAGCTCTAGTCCTAATCAACGTAGTATCGACGCAAGCTGGTTGGCTGGAGTGGGGTTACCAGAAAATCAACGCTCGCTACCTCAAGTCAAAAGGCATGACCCAAGGAGTGCTAGACTACCTCATGTGGCATCACTTTGGAAGGGTGAGTTTTGTAGTTTTGAAGCCTTCTTCAACAGAATCGAATAGATGCATAGCACACTAGTAGTTATTTCGTCAACTATTACATTATGAGGAATACAATGGTGGAATAGTGGACTAATACAAGTTTAAACAGTCTCTGTACATGTTGAGTATATGAATTCACATGTCATGTGAATTTTAAAGTTCCATTCAAAATTAGATTGTTCCAAAATCCAAAGAATCAATGCTTCTCCATCATGCCTAACGTAGTTAATATGTAAATCAGTGTCCCATAACAATAAAAAGTAATTTTACTAACTTACACTCTCCCTTTATTTGTAGGGCACAGAAGAGAGGAACCACGACCTTGTTCAAGTGTACAAGACGTACTTTGAACGATTCATCAACCCCGGGAACCTGGCAATGTTCATCGACAGTTACGTGCGGCGGACGGATCTGAACATGACACGTAACGGAGCCACACTGTCCATGCCTGTACTTAACATATCTGGAGCCTTGAGTCCCCACGTGGACGAAACTGTCACTCTCAACAGTCGACTCGACCCCACCAACTCATCCTGGATGAAGGTAAGCCAAGAAACTAGTTAGGTACCCAAAAATTTACATTTAGATAAAATATATGAATTGATAAAAGATTTTATGGTGGAAAATCTATCACAATTATTGAGATTTTTTATTCTGAAACTTAGATTATAATCTATGTTTGACCCGATAAACCATGGCTAGAATCATCATTTCAGCTTTTCTATTAAAATTGATTGCTTTAGAACACAATATATCACTTGTTAACATCCAAATTTGATATTTATATATCACATTATGAACATGAGGAGATAATCAAGTAATAAACACAAGTTAGTTTTGTTATATCAGAACAGCCCTAATGCACGTCCTATTAGATTCCCATGGCTAGATGCGACTAGCCCCACTTGGCATAGTAAACCTAATAATTTGAGGTACAAATAGTTATTACATTTATAACTATTTTTATAATATAATTTCAATGATCTAAAGTAATACTCAGGAGGCCATGGTGGGAATTGCTTTTGACAAGAATCTGCTATTTAGTTAAAACATTTAAAACATTCACTCAACCCTAAAAATAACCAATATTCATTAGGTTACTACCACTATTGGAAATAATCTTTAAACCGGTGGTATATTTTACATGCCACAATCTTGTTCAAGACTGATGGATGCCCGCAGCCAGCCTTCCCAGAATTCCCTCTATTACTTAAGCACATTTTTTATGTTCATAAAATTTCCTACTGGGTCAAAAACAAGACTTTGGATTTCAATAGGAATTGAACTCTGTGAACTAAAAAGAGGCTCATAGGAGGACTTCTTACACACAACCTTTGTAATTGATTCATTTCCCCTGTTCCAGATATCGGACTGTGGAATGGTACTGGAGGAACAGCCCAACAAAGTCAGTGAAGCTTTGCGTCTTTTCCTTCAGGGACTTGGCTACGGTAAGAAGTAAACCCTCTCCCCGACCAAAGCTTACATAGGTTGTGTTGTCTAGGCAATAACTAATCTTGTTATATTGTCTAATGTTATATAATCCAATGCATTGGCATTTCAAACCAAGTAACTTTGAGTGAAAACATTCTTTTGTAAGTTGTTGGACTTGAGGTTCTATTTTTATCTGTTGAATCAAGGGGTAAAAATATAAACTTTGGTTTTGAATTGTTGAATAACTATGGTGTTTTAAATATGATTGAAGGAAGCTTGACCTTGATCTATGTGATATATTTCAGTAAAGCTATGTCATAGTCTGCTGTATTGATGTGGTTGGGCAATAACTATGAATCTCATTGGAATTGAGATATCGATCAATATCAGCGAAATTCAGGTTTATGTCTTGTAGAATTGAACTACGGTAACAGTTGCAATATTTATGTTTTTCAATGTGCAATGACGTTTTCTGGCATTGTGACTTTGAGTTTAAGGTTTCTTTTAATTGTTTCCATATTTTTGTAAATTAAAGTTTCATTTTTTTGTAAATTAATGTTTCATATTTTTAAATTTTGCTTTAAGGCGTATAGGAGGGATGTAAATGTTGGGATCAAAAAATGGTTTACAGCTTACATAACAGACTGTATTTACTTTTTCAGATGGAATCAAATTTATCCGATGGTTAAAGGTTTACTCACATTGTTATATTTTGTTGTCTTTAATGGTTACATCGTGAATATTCTGTTTTATAAACTCAAATAGTATTATGAGATCAAGGTCGGGCTTGTGATGTTTTTAAAAATTAATAGCAATTGAAAATAGTTTGCATGTCCATAGATCAGGTAGGTCCCTCCTTGTCAAAAGTAAGTAGTTTCTCTGTCATCATAATTTTTTTTAAGGTTAAATCATTTTGTTATATAAAAACCTAGATGTACTTCTTTCAAAATGGTTAAGCTGTGAAACTGTAAGAAAGTGTAGCATTGGCATTTTCAATTTGTGTAAAGTGCCAAGGCAAAGTTTCAGTTTATGAAAGTAGGAAAACAAAAAACAATAAGTAGGCCTAATACATTTCTGTAAAATTTTGTCATGTCAGCGTTGGAGGAAAATATTTTTCTTTTGTGGCTTTTGATACCAACATCAGGTTCAATTTGATAATCACTACCCCACTGCCAAAACTTACAAATACAAATTTACTATTTTCAACAAGACAAAAAATTATTGATAGGCCTATTGTTATTTTTTACACTTTCACACCACTAATGAATGAGTAAAACAATGCAATTTATTTATCTTGACTAATGTGCATTTTTATTTGAACAAATATTCAAACAAATGCATATTTAACTTTTTTACGGCCATGCATTTTGCTCTGACCAAGGAAATATTTTTAAATACAAAGTCATATTTTCATGTGATATTTTAGTGATTCGTAACCGAATATTGTGTCGTATACAGGGTGTTAATTTTATCTTGACCAACATTGGTATACGATAAAGTATAAGTATTACAGAAAACCGTAATGAAGAATGCTACATTTCAGTGATCTTTAAAATTTTAAATCATGTTTTTTGTTAATGTAACTACCATTTCCAACTACAAAATGTATTAATGCTAATCCTTATTAATGAATTTGGATTCTTTATGAGATTCTAAGGAGTTTCAATTACTCATTTTTTTAACCTAACTGCTCTGAAGATGAGTTAAAATAGTCCAGTAAAGCATTTATCACTTTACTTTAAAATTTGTTGTATGAAAAATATTTTAGTTTCGCTCTGTTATGAATATTTACATGTTTGATGGAAAGGCTATGGAAAATATTTTACTTTCAGTCATTTATTGGATTTTTAAAGATTCTCTTCAGTTTTTTCTAATTGAAACTCATATTAATAGAAACATTATTTATTGACATATAGTATTAGAACTTGATTGATATAGTTTAAATTGATTTACAGTCAGTTTAAATTTATTAAGTTTTTGTAGAAAATAATTTTACAACTTTGTATTAATTGAATTTCTTGTACTTTTTTCCGACCGTGGTGGTGGATTTACCCTTCTTGTAGGTCTATACTATTTATCAACTTGATGTCGAGCACAGTAGTCTTGAAATAAAACACTAATCACCTGTAATTGTTATGTTTACACAGGCTAAAAAAAGGTTTTAACGAAAATGCACGTTGATTTATAATAATTTGTATATTTTTCACTACCACCATTTGTACAAAATTCTAGCTGTATGATTTGCTTGCAATCCAAATATTTTCTTTGGTTTCAGATTTCTTAAGCTATGTTAAAACTAATTTATTAGATCCCTTTTTAAAATTCAATATTTCTGGGACTGTGTGTACCCTCCCATGATTACTCATTGAAAGTAGACTCTCAAAAATAAAGCAGAAGGGCACTCTGGATTTGGAACAATTCTTTCCCAGTAAAAAGTATTTACTTAGCACTACCTTGCTGCACAAGCAGGCATGACATGTTTGCAATGTAATTAATTAAAAAAATTAAAATTATATATTACTATTACCATATATTGCCAATGAAGATAATGAACCAACTTTGGGTATTTTTTACCAAATAAATTGATGAATGGGTGTAGAATGGAGTGAGGTGCCTTGTAAAGCTTTGTTACTGACTAAGACCAGCTGTTTCATTAGCCAGAACCCAGTTTATTCAGCCTAATAATCTAGGAAAGCTGGACCAAGCTATAAGAAATCAATACAAACCCTTTAAGAAGCGAAATGCTTATGGAGAATAGTCAGACTGGAATTTTGCTACCGAAATGAGCTTCGCGCGGCTGCTACAATCACTTGCACAGTGGCAGCGCTATTCTATATCCTCTCTCTTTAAGCCGATTCTTTGTTTTACTCTCTCTCACTCAGTCAGCTGACTTGGCTGCGTGCTTTCGATAGTCTACCTAGCGGCCGCCATGGGAACTACCTGAAATTCTAATATTCCCAGACTGAATTTTTAACAAAGGCATAAGTTTTGTATTCATTGGTATAAGTCAGTAGTTATTGTGAAGTGTTAGTTAGTGGGGAGCTGGCAAGCAGTTTTTAACTTTTTTATATAGCCTATAAAATATATTTTTCCAGTTTTTTTTTAAGATTTGGATTTATGAGAGTCTACTGTAGATAGTTTATAACAAATACCAATTTTACCCTTTTCGTGGTATGTTTTTTTTAAAGACGTGTAAACTAAAATCAACTATGCTATTCTGATTGTACTTGTATGAATCCATAATGTAAGATCCCTATGTTTTCTGCTCCTTCAAAGCAAGGAAAAAATAAATGAAAATTAATTTTCCACGAGCTACAATTTAAAGTTGGTAAAAAAACTAAAACTCTGAAAAAATTTCAGAACAATGGTTGCTTTTTATTGTGGTTAGATAAAATTTGAAAGTAAACAACCAATTAAACCAATTAATACTAGTATGGTAAATTTTTAAATTACATCAAAGCTTGAGTTTTCTTATAAACATAATGCATCGAGTTTGTACAATGTTTGAGTTGCCAAGTTTCCATGACTAACTCAGCAATGTTGGGTTTTGGTTTTAACCTTGTTGTCGTAATTAATTGTGATTTGATATCTTATAGAAATATTGTCAAGTGTGTGTTATGTACATTGTGTGTTCAATATTGAATTGTGTTTTTGACCTTTCTTGAGTTGGGTAACAACTTGCAACAGTTTTTGTTCATGTAAAAAGCCCTGAAGGGCTAAAAATTTTCTTTGTTTGGTAAATTGTAGTTATCATGTTTTTATTTTTATTTAAAAAAACGTTCCTTGAAAAAGTTACACATTTAAAGTTTTTCTTCGGTTTTATTAAAACTATGATAATTATGTATCAGCTCAAGAAAGGTTTATGTTATTGTTATCAATTTGAATGTGTGTGTATCTTGCTTTTTGATTAACATCCTGCTCAGCTCTATAACTAATTGCCTGAAAGTACTTTAAACTTATATTTCTAATTCAAAATTTGGTAGCTCAACCCAATTTCATAGTTTTACATAGATCAAACCAAAAAAGTAGATTTTTATTTCCTGACACATAAGTAAGCTACGGTAGGCACATGTTTTGTCTTAACTATATAATGATAAATATTTATAAAGGTGTGGTTCTTTTGTAATTTTTAAAAAACTTTTTAGTCTTAAGTAACTTAACCTAAAGCAACTTTATCTTAAAAGAGTAAAAAATATCATACAGCGTTGTAAAACATCGCTTCAAGCCTTTTTAGTTAGAAAGTAAGTCTTTACCTGTTCCATTTGTTGTGCCCCAGTTTAAGAATTTTAAAAATCACTTTGTTCCTCTCCTGGTTGGATTAGATGGATTATTGCTGTGGCGGGATTCTCATTAAGACTTTTCTGTTGTTATTTTTTTATTGTTAGCCAGTTTAGAGGACGCTGGTATAGTTTTAAAGGTGGTGCAGGTTAACATTTCAAATAATAACCTTGTACGGTTGTGAGAGATTGTGAGAGCTGAGCAGGGGCTTTTAGAGGCTTTAGTCTCTCACTGAGGTCTGCTTTGTTTCCATTGTTGCCTTGGCGAGTCCCCTCCACACCCGGTTTTGGTATGTATCACTTGCACTACCGCTTTCGCTACCTGCTCTGGCTTGGTTACCATTACACCCTCGTTTGAGTAAAAAACCAAAATCTATTGTATATTTTTGGTGATGCTAATTTTACAGTTTAGGGTGTGATTGTCTGCGGTCGATGTTTTGGATTTCAGTAAGGACAAGATTCATTGTAAAATTTATCTGGCTTGACAAATTCATGGGTACTTGCAAATATAGTTTTGGTTACTCCCGGGTCTGGGTGTTTTCCTACAGTCCCTCTTCCTCTACTATCAGCTATTCCTTTTCTTCCTCTCTTCATCCCTCTTTCCCTTTTGTGTTAGGTGTTCCTCTCAGAACTTCATGCAAGTTCATGCAGACTTTGAGTTGTGCTGCCATTATAACAATACAGTTTGTGAGGTGTTTATGTCGGGTAGGGCACCTATCGTAAACTTACCTCCGATTTGCTCGGACAGCTCGGGAGTAGTCCAAGGTCTCGCTGACAGTCCTCGTCGCTCGCTTTCCACTTCTGGATCTTCGTAGATGTTACTGTCGCGCCAATCTGCTAGTACACAAGTACACGCTGTGTACCTCGGCACGTCGACGCACCGTACACGAGTTGCTATTAAGGAATACACTAAATATGGTTACTCTTATAACTTGGTGTCAGCACAGCGACGCGCTGACAAGGCCAAGTCGAAGTTAACTACTAGGGCTGATAGATAACTAGGCGAAGATTAGAAAATAAAATAAATACCCAGCTCCTAGGCTTAACGAAAGGTCTCACTTTTCAAAATAAAACAAAAAATAATCTTCTCGGAATTAAAAGAAAACGACGCTAACTCGCGATAAGTAAATAATAAAATAAAATAAAACGTAGAAGGCGCCTATGCCAATTCTTCTTGGCTTTAAGGAAAATAAATAAAAACTCTTGATTAAAAGAAAACAAAAACGTTTTGGATTACTAAAAGTAGACGTAGGTGACTACGACACTACACTCGCAGCGTCGGTCGTTAAACTACGATATTCTATAAATAACGTAATTTATACGATAAACGTAATTTACGAGTAGGGGTATAACGTATACGCTAGTTATAACCAGTGTACTAACGTATCACGATACTTCCTGATTCGTCTCTATGTTTCGCACGCCTTCGTCCGGATACTTTATGTTCGCTCGCACAGCCTAAAGAAGGTTGGTGTGCGCGAACCTAACGCTCGCCACCGACTGTCTACTCGAAGGGTGTTTGGCAAACAAGCGCTCGCCACCGACTGTCTCAAGAACTGTCCACTGTCCGCTGGTCTCGGCTTCTCCCCACCACGTCTACGGCAGCGCTTCAAGGTGACAGCGGCCGAGTCTCGAACTAGGAGACCTGCAGTGGACATGTTTGACATTGTTGCCGTCGTGACGAACCGCCGCGATTAATCGTTCGTGTATATAATAAAAAACTACCCCTAACAAAATTTGACCATTACAAATTTATAAAGATAAATGATTGTTCATTGTAAATTATTGTCTCTAAAATAAAAACAAAAAACCAAAGAAGCAAATTAATTCGACAAAATAAAAAAATAATACCCCCGCCGCAGCAAACCTGCCGACTAAGCGAATTTCCATTTGTCTGAATAGATTTTTAACCAAACCTATTTAAATAACATTAGGTTTAATGAGTACCTAGGTTTGCTGCCAAAAGGAAACTAATAAAGTGTATTTTTTTGGAAAATATTAATAACTTAGTATAAAATAAATAAATTTGCCAAGTTTGATCAAAATATATCCATAAACAAGCAAACTAAAACAGTTGACTTTTTCTCCATAAGAATAACATGGGGATTTTAAATTCACAGTTTTTTGGAATTTTCTCCGTAACCATTAGGCGCACAATAACGCTTCAATATACTAAATTATTTGTTTTTTTATGCTCTACAAAATGGTGTGAATAGAAATTGTAAAATTTTGTGTTTTTAGGGTCAAAAATGGGAAAAACCTATTTTTACCCCATAAAACCCCCCATAAACCCCCGTTCCCATAGTCCGATCATGCTGGTTCGCGAACTCGTTCGAATAAATGTAGGTTTACACGTTTGTACCAAATTTCATCAAAATCGGATGATTTTTGCTCGAGTTATCGTGCTAACGGACACACATATATATATATATATATATATATGAATTTGAACGGATGGTGTTTTTGGCCTCTGGGGACATCAAAATGAAAAAGTAAATCGGTCCCGGGTCTAGGTCTTACCGTGCCACCTACAGTAATAGCTACTTCCCTATAGGGAAATTCGCTAAAAATAAACACACAAGGGTATACAGTTATGCAAACAATAGATTTTGGTCATGTATTTTCACATGTTTACAGGTCTGATTATGTTCCAAATCAAATATTTGCTGTTACGTTATTTTTCTATATAATTGTATTGTTTCGTTGTTTTTACTCTAGCATGAGTTCTTGCATAAAATGTTTCAGCTTGTTAATATAATAATAAATATTGTTTATCTTGTCTGGTTGTAACTTTCATCACAATTAAAGCTAATTAAATTGTAGCTGTTTTTAACAAAACTTGAAACAAAATACCACGGATACTCATTTTGGTTTTGACTTACTTGGGTAAGTTTTCTAACTGCAGCAGAAACCAAGAACAAAGATCAGTATTGATTGTATGCGCCTTGAAAAGTTATTGAAATGTCTGCTCAAACAGTCATTTCGAATAGGAATGGATTTAGTCTTTGCTTTCTATACAGTACTTGGTTACTTACATTTCTATACAGCACTGGTCTTAAGGGAGATGTTTGACTTAAAACATCAGATATTGTGTAAATATTGTAAAATAAATACATTTTAGTTATTTCTGTAACCCTAAGAGATTGGTATTTTGATTTAATGATTTTGACTTTGCTATTTTAAAAACTTAAATGGTGGAAAAAAGTAAGAAAAAAAAAATTAAGGGGTATTTTGCAGATCTATATGTTTTTAGAACGGCTACTGTACAGTGATCATGGAATGGAGTATAGAATTAGCTTGAAGCCCTTAAAAATGTGTTATGAAGCCCACAACTTGTAGATGATATGGTACGGTCGTTGTTGTTTATAAAACCTCTGTCATGTTTCAGCCATTCAAGTGGGCCGCAAAAAGTTGATGTCTTCGGTGTCGGCTGAAGGTAATAGTTAACGTAGTGAGCCAGACGCCCGCTTGATGGCAGCACAGTAAGTGTCCGCTTAGCTCAGCCGCTTGATCATATCACTTGCCAATTTCGCTTCAGTGCCGTGTTTTAAATTTTGCATTGGCAAAAATATTTGACAAAAATAGTTGTTTTAAAATGAGATTCTTTGTGATTTCTGTAAGATGTGGTGACAAGTCTTATCCTTCACACCTCCGTTTACTCCGCAATTCCAGAAGATAGTGAATCTGGTGTGTTATAAATGTAATTTGAAATTTATTCACATAAAGTTTACAAGACAGATTTTTCCCATGTAAACGTGTAAAAACACTTCAATATATAATAGTGCCTTATTCAAATATAGTTGAATACTTTTTCTTCACTACTGTAGTTCAAAACTTTTTTTCACCTTTTTGTTTTCTCCAGGAGTATATTGTATATTTTACTACACATGGCGATCCTTTGCCTACAACTGTTTTATGGATTGGGTATTGAAGATCACTCTTGCTCTGTTAGAACTCGGAGAACTCTGTTTAAACAAGTTTTTTAAGCATTGTCTGTAGAAATATCTTTACTTGTAGCCAGTGCTGGCTTTATTACTAGTCAGACTAAGCAAAGGGAGCCCTAGCATTTTGTAAACCATTTTTAAACAAAAGTTAAATTTTTATTTTTTTTAATTAATCATTGATGAAAATTGAGGCTAGTGGTGATGATATCCCTACGATTGTGGGATTTATTCATGACTTGTTTGGTTTACTTATTGCGTTGCAAGAGTAAATGGAGCTCTGAAAGGACAATTCTTTGGTTATCACTACAGAAATCAATAATGAATTTAGTATGTTCTTTTTACTAAGTTTTATCCATAATTTTACTTAGATTTAACTTAACTACTAATTAGGATAAAGATGTTCAAACATAAAACTCTACAATAGGACGACCTGTCTTTTGGCAGTATCTATATCCTATATTTAAACATTTGTTTCTGTACCTACAATCAAATAAAACCCCTTCTACACTATCTCTACATTAGCACATCTAAATAACTCAAAATTAAATTTTCATTGAGTTCCCAATAGTGTTAAGTAACTTATATGAACGATAGAAATAGTCAAATTACAATAAGAAGTTGTTGAAGATGACTTGAGTTAAGGCCGTGAGCCAGATTTCGAGCATGAATAATGAATGTGTGTGATTATTAGCGTTTAGCTCTCAATGTATGTCTCACACCAAAGGTAATGTCTTCACTTTCCATGCACTTTGTCATTTCAATATTGTTTTTATAATTTTAAACGTTACTTCATACTTCGCATGCTTATATGATTGATAGTTTATTCTCTTGACAATTGTTTCGTAAACGTTCTTTGTTGATCAAACCTGTGTTGAGTATGATGAAATATCCTCAATAACTAACTACCTCTATTTAACAGTTTTTGCCGTAGTTATGTCGTTAAAAATAAAATTAAGATTAAAAATCTCGTCTTGGGCTCCCTCAGTGAAAATGCTTTACTTCAATGTATAAGATATGAAAATTAACAAAGCCAAACTATCTAGGTTCTCTAGATTTAATGGCATAGCTAGAATATGGTGTTTACATAAAAAATTACACACAAAAAACAAACATTCTAGATGAAGTGTCAAAATTTTTTTTTTTTTTAACCATACACAGAAATTTAATATAGATAGTTACAAGACAAATAAATCTAAATTTACAGATATTACAAAAAATTTTGATTCTTTCAATAAATATGTTGGATGCCTGCTCCATCTTCGAATTCTCGAGCAGATCTCCATTTTTTTCGAGATCTTCTCAGGCACATACTTGTTGCCCTTAAAATTGAGCAAGTCAGTCTCGTTCTGATCCAATTAACTACCAGGCTGTAAGGCTTAACCCATTTTTCTGACAATCTCTCAGCTAGTGCTCTTATTAGTGTTTGAAAGTCTTTGCCTAGGATTCCGCAGACTGATGTTATCAAAGGAGTGAAAGAGGCATTCCGGCTTTCACAGGCTGAAATATACTTTCTTTTCTTTTCTTCTTCTGCATTTTGTATGACATTGTCATGAGGTTTGGAAGCATATGAGGGAGCATCGGTGTCTACGACACGGATATCAAATAATGCTTCCCTCTGTGTCTCCCATACCCCTCTACATGCCAAGTCAGCTTTAATTGCAGGCCCGTTTGCATTTCTATTCTCTGCTATAAGGGGTTCTTTGATACAATTCCCCCATGCCTGTTCCATAATGTTTCCTAAAGCATCTCTAATTTCATTGTGTCGTTTGATAATTAGGCCACCTACAGGACATGTAAGGGCATGGTCTGTATTAAATTCTTTCCCACAGCCATCACATTTGGTTGGTAAATGGATCGGTGTCCGACCATATCTCAGTGCCAGGGAATCCCTAAATTCTTGGGGTGACATGTCTAAATTTAATTTCTTCAATGGTACACAGGATAACCAGCTGCCATGTTTTGATTTAGGGTCAGCATTTCGTAGAATTACATTTTGCCTTTGTAGTGAAAAATATTTTAAATTTTCATTTAATAATTTGTTTTCTTCAGTTTTCTTTTGTTCTCTATGGAACTTTAATGCTTTTTTTAAAGCATCTTCATGCTCACTGAACTCAAAAGAGGTTTTTAATGCAAGAGATTGTAAGAGAACTTCACACCCTCTTTTTGACGTTTCATATATGTGTTTAGATTGTACTATTGGATCAGCCATCCCTATTCCTCCACTTTTTACTGTTAGATGAAGTAATTCATGCTCTTCTTTACATAAGCCTTCTTGTAATCCAAACAGATTGGGGAAAAGTGATGTTCTAATAGTGTGCTGGATTGGACTGAACATTTCTGGTTCAACTTTTACTACTCTCTGGAAAAAAGTCCATTCTGCTTGTAATGATTTTGTAGCAACAGTATGGGCTGATTGAGGGTGTTTTTCAGCAATCCCAGCAATATTTTCAACACGCTGGGTCCAAGCATTGATCTTTTCTGTTGCAAACTTTTTCTTTTCTTCCTCGCAGCCAATAAAGCCTCCTAAAAACTTGCTGCCATGAACAACTTCAATTCCCTCCATTTGTATCATTTGTACCTTTTGGGAAATTTCAAAATCATGGTTCCAAATTAGTTTGGTTTTTTTTGCTTGAGGGTAGTATCCATATTTTGGACCAATTTCTTTAAGTTTTTGCCACCATTGTATCACATTATTAAGGGATCCTTGACAAGATGAATCATCTGCATACCAGGTCTGAAAAACATCTGGCATTCTTTTTAATTCCTGAATTAGTGGAAGAGTTGCTAATCCATACAAAATCATTGATAAAGGGTCACCTTGGGTGACACCTTCTTTGCTGAACAGTTTTTTACTAGTTCCAGGGATTATCAAGTCTGCGTTGCATTGATAAGTGTTGTAAATAAATCTGGCAGCTCTAGGCCAATGTAATCTTGCTTGCCACAATGCATTTACTCTGTTAATTTTATTGAAGGCGTTATCAGCATCAACTAATATCATGCACCATTCATTTGTATTGTCAAAGTTCTCATCCATAACAGTTTGCATAAAATGTATTGCTCCCTCTATGCCTGATTTTAGGCCTCCACATAGTTGATTAGTACCTAAAGCATGTTTTGCATCATCACCAAATGCTACTATCATGCATTTAGCTATGATCCGTCTTAGGCATTCTCCAATTCCGATTGGTCTCACTCCGGGACATTTGTCGATGGCTATCAATCTATTTGCCATTAAGGCTCTTATTTTATGCCAAGGTATTATTTCTCCATTTAATTTCATGGCTAAAGAGGCTATTGAAGATCTAAGAAGCGCACTTTTCTTTCCATGTCTTAACAAGAAATCCGTCCAATTTTCTGAAGAGCTTCCTCCTGGACCACCACTTCCATGAAGTTGTCTTGCTACTTTCTCAACATGCTCTGCTGTTATTTCTGTGTTTTCTAGTTTGGGAACTTCACTCATGGTTTCAGGTAGTTTTATTAAATCTTTGTTTGGAATTATTTGGTCTGGATGTTTTTCTTTTAATAAATCATAAACTGTAGTGTTGGTGTCACCGATATAATCATTAGGATTAAGGATTCCTCCTACCATATTTTGGTTTACTACTCTTGATGCATCTTTTATTTTTCCACATTGAACAAGTCTGTTGAAATAAGTTTCTGTAAACTGTTTTTGTTCATTTGCATCAAGTTTTTTACACTTGTTCTTTAAAGATCTATCGCATCGGATGGCCTCATTTACTAGCTCATCATACCTCTCCTCCTTCCACTCATTAATTCTTCTATCAATTAGTCTTCTGATGTCTTTTGTTTGTTTTATCATTTTTTCTCTCTGCAAAATAACAGCAATGAAACATATTACTCTTTCAGAGGTTTCTTTTCCAGTTGCCAGCAATAATATTTCTTCCGCTAGTAATTGTACAAATTTGTCTCCAATGGATCCATATGGCAAATTATATTGCAATCTTTTAAGAGTAACGATCTTTTCCCAACGAGGCAACCATATAGATGGTACTTGATCCTCAGAGGATTGTATTGGATTTACTTCGAAATATTTTGAAAGATAATCAGGAGATCTGCATTCGGTGTGTTTGGGTGGATTAAGAGTTGTCAATGAATCATTAATTTTTTTAGAATGATCTTTGTTCAAGTGATTGAGGAATCTTGCATGACTTTTGAAACTAATCTCACATTCAGTACATTTGTTTTGATTAGTTTTTGAATCTATTACACTATAATTGCTGTCTGTATCTATTTCCCAAGTTTTAGATTTTGGAATAAGTAGGTCAAAATGTCCAGACACAGGATTGCCAGATAATAATAAATTTATTATTTTATTGTTATCACCAGAAGAGATTTTTATTGGAGGCTTCCTCATAGCTATCGTTCTTGTCATTATTCTTGGTTCTGTAGATTGAAGGTATATATGAAAATTAAGTTGGTATATTTGGGATAGAGCAAGGCATTCAAGGGACGTGCCGTATGTTCCATCATTCCTCATTAGTTGAATATATTTATCTTTCTCAGAAGCTTTGCTTTCATCAACTACAAATGTTTTTACTTCTTCCCAATGTTTATTTAAATACTGAACTGCTTGAGTTCGTAATTTAGAATGGCTATTTTGATTATTAAATAAGTGTTGACTTACAGTATTAGTCAAAATTGGTTTAGAGACTAAAAATAATATAGTAAATATAAAAATATTGATTTATTCATGGTTAGAAAATCATAGTGGAAGATTCAAACTTACGCATCAAGAAAGTGTTTTGGAAATCATTACATAATACTCCAAATTAAATATTCAAAGTTATTAGTTATTTAAAGAAATTGAGCAGAAAATCTGTTGAGCCACCATCAATCCATTATGAACTTTTTCCCAATAATTCAATCATGTAACAAAATCATATTTTGTTTTTATATTCAAATTTTTAAAAAATATACTAATTCATATTAAAAATCAAATAGATTTTTTCATAAAACGTCTTACATTATATGTTGCTTCATTTAGTTAATAGATGTCAACAAAGCATGTTTGTCAATGTTTAGGACAAGATTATTAAGCTGCAAGACTGCATGATCAGCTTCATAAAATAAATGCTAATTGTTATCGTTGCTTTCTAGATTATATTCATTTTGTTGTAATAACTTTTCTATGGTGTTTTTTTATTCATCAAGTAAACTTGTCTGAATTAACTAGATCTTACATAGCACATTGACATGTAGAGAACCAATTTTAAAGAAACAATGTAATGTAATTGACCATCGGCCACATTACCTTAAATGTTTCTGTTTCTAAAGACAAAAGTTTAAATCCTAAAGAGGTGGAAATGTTACCAAAACTATACAAAAAACTGACCAAACATTGCTGGGTAGATGAGTTGTTATAGTGCGCACGTAGTAGGTATTAAGAAGGTTACTGGTTCGAACATGAGAACATTAGGCATAAGTAGCTTTTTCATAGTGAACTGAACCCAGCTGTCCTTGATCACGGGGGTTTTTGGTAAAGGGTTCTGGCTAAATAAACAGCTGACCATAGTTTCATAGATACACAAATCATCTCGCTCCATTCTACACTTATCTCAGTGTTTTGATAATGATTATATACTTTATAATGTTAGAGCTTGTATGCTGATATGTTTATTGGAACATTTACACTTTTAGGACCACAAAAATGAATTGTTACGCTATGAAAATTGAATTAACTGTGGGTTTTAAAGCATTTTTAGGGAAACCGAACAATTTGCTAATCACTGACATTTTAATTTGGTAATTTTTTATTTCAAATAACATCACTATACGAACCTTTCTCATTTCTTGATAAAATGTTTTCTAAAATATCAACCCTTAACCTCACATTGCATGGGCGTTTCTTAGTTTCAGGTTGGGTCTATATTAAATTAATAAAGGATGTCTTTATTTGTTTTCATTTTATTAAAAAAAGTTTTAGTCACTGTAGTGCATTTATTCAGTACTACAAACTCAAGTTCTCCCTCTATGTGTCTGAAACATATAAATTTGAAAACTTCAAAAGCTCTCGTTATATTGTGTTTTACATGCCGAATTAATACATAGCGTTCTTGCAACATTCCAAGTCAATGTTACATTCTAGTATAATGGTGTATTTTTTACAAGACACAAGATATATATCTAAAACATAGAACCTCATGCACTAAATATTTGACACTATTTATGTATGTATTCTATGCTACAAAGAAATCAAGATTATTTAAATTTGAATCAGTTTACAACGTTTAGACTGTTCATCCATGGTTGAGGAAAGATATTTGAGAGTCACCGTTATTTCTTTTTTATTTTACCATAAAAAATCGAAAGTATAAGATAGTTATGTCTTCAGCATGAAAAATAACCATCACAAGCGTAGCATTAGCATTAGATGTAGTGGATAAAATAAAATGCATATTTTATATTTCAAAAAGTATAATAGGTGTTCATCAGACCACAAGTATTTTAGACAATTACTCTCATTGAGTGAAGTATCAACTGTTCCTGTTGTGTCATATGTGTGTAACCGTGTAATCTTGGCTCTGCCCAGGGTTGATGGTGAAGACATCTCGGTCCGGTGACTCTCTCCATAGCGTCTCCTGGCCGATTCACATCACGGAGAATCCCATCTCCGAGGCAGCCGTGTGCTAAGCTCGAGATCTGTCTACGCTAGTACTTCACTACACTACTCCAAAGTAGCTTCGACTCTTTATTGTGCTTTTATTATTTATTCTCGTTTCTATAGACATTTGTTGTTACGCCTTTGTACAGTTTAATATTGTATTTTTGTCAGTAAAACTAGGCAAATGATATTTATAATCACTGTACTCGCCTGAGCGTAATGTTATAGTTGTTGTCGAGCTTACTCGCGTAAGCTTAAAGTCGAGTTAGGTTAAGTCACCGGTGAACTCGTTGGAGTTTGTACACGCTAATAAGAATTGATTTGTTTTTATGTATTTTAAGTATTATTAAGCTGTAAGAATATATTTGTTTAAATGATTTTTGTGTTGTCCTTCTAGACCTCTTCCTGAAAATTTTCACAAAAGGGATTACTAACAATTTTGATTGGATTGGTTAAGATCTTATTGAGATAACTTTCTCAATGTAATAACAAGAAAGAGTTTGATTTGTTCCCAATAAGGGCTGATAGCTACAAAGCTTAACAACTATTGATTCTCATTCCATCATCTATATATATAAAATCCAATGTATGCTTGTTTGTATGTTTGTTTGTTTGTTTGTTTGTCCTATATGAACTCCGAAACCACTCGACAGATTGTAATGAAACTTTCAGGTATTATTAAGCATTATTCAAGGATGGTTTGTGTGAAGTTTGGTGCAGATTCATCAAAAAGGCTCAGTGGCTCTGGAGTTTCCAATGTTAACCTTATGAGTATCTAAAATATTAAAACGAAACAGTGTTTTTTATTTCACGATTCTGAATTAACCACTTGACGGATTTTCATGATTTTTGTGTTGAAAGAAAGACAATTTTGAGAACTAGGGAATGTCAAAGCCATAATTTTAGTTTAGGTAATTGGCAAATTGCCAAATTGGTACAGTGAAATCTGGAATGATGATCACCAATGTCGCAATATTAATTGAGGTACGCAAACACCTTTACTTTAATGCTTCTAAATACTGTAAGATGAAAAGTAGGCTAGATATGTATGGAGATGTGTAATTAAACAACAGTTTAGTACAATATAAAGTTTATTTATTACATTTTAATAGGTACAATATTGTACAGTCTGTCAAATGTGACATCGCAGTAGTATAGGGACAATATAGTACATGCTGCCAAGACGATAAGGACTAATTTTAATATTACTAAAATTGATGATACTACATTTAAATGTTTCATTTTTACTTGAGACCAAAAAGCACACTTAATGTGATAAATATTACAAAGGTGTATAAAAGTTAAAAAAGCTTGATTAGAAATACAGAATAAAACTTGTCTGAAAATAGAATCACAATTTGATAAGGCAGCTTTGGCAAGGAGGCTAATGGCACTAGTGGACAAGACTACAACTATTACAAATATTTACATTCAGTGATCCTGCCATTAAGTAAACAGTTACATGACAAAGTACTTTGATGCATAAGTACTTCAGGTATTTAAGTGTTAATTTTTAAGTTTCATTTATGTTTAAGTTAAAGCTACGAAGTGGTTTTACTTTAATTTTGCATCCGGAGCAAAAGACACTCTTGCCAGATAAAAATATTCTATAAAGTAATCAATTTCTCCCAAATATTTCTATTTTACTATCTTTATAAGATAATTTTTCATTTTTATATTATAAATGAGCTAGCACATTAAAATAAAAGTTTAAAAATGTTTAAAATCTTACTGACAATGAGAGGTAACTAAAAAATATTATTATTTTTTAATACATGCAAAATCTACTTGTTACATTGGGCCATGCAAAGAAAATGGAAGACACTTCAATGATATTTCAAGATTGAAAAGGACAATTTTCACTATCAATGATTCATTTAAATTCACATCTTAGTAAAAAGCAGAATATAAAAATATAAATATTTATTACTACTCGAAACAGCTGTGTTAACCTATAACATAATACATAATTACAGTTAAATTTAAAGTCTTAGTTAAAACATGTATAACAAGAGTATCACAGTCGTAAGTTGAAGAAGTGAGAAGACAGTGTCATTTGGCTCCGAGAAAACATCTTTAAAACTAAGCAAAAAATAAAACATTCAAATATAAAAATCGGAATGTAGTAAACTTAACTGCTTCTCACTTCTTCTTTATTTAGTTATTTACAAAAATAAGTTTGATTAACACATAAGTACATAATAATCTTTACTAATCTACAATTTCGCCTACGTCGTTTGAATTTATTAACACGTTTAAATATTTAAACACTGTAACAAATTAGAATAGCCACAATAAAATGGCACTTATATAAATATTTTCACAGTCGACTCGAGTTCGTTGTAAATCGATACAAACAACACCGGGCATGGAATGCGAAACACGGAATGATGTAAACTTCTCCAAAATCTTGCAAATAATCTAAAAATTGAGCGGATTCACCGGTGTACCCGAGACACTACTGAATCTTTGGATGGTCGGTCTTCACACCCTTTAATCGTGGTCTTAAATACTATACATATGTACAAACCTCGAATCACCGATTTGTCTTTTATGAGATTCTTTTTCTACCGTGATGCTGGCAAAAGCCACGTAATATTTTACACTGACTGTATAAATGTACAAGTATACATTAACAAAAACACTGTCGATAGTGAGGCTCACTGTAGCTAACAGTCTGTTTCAGTGGCCTCAGCTATTGATTGCTAAACCGTAGTTTCATTCCTCCGCAGCGGCTGTAGTTCACGCTGTAGCCGGTCGAAGTCGTTGTAGTACTCGTGGTCCGACTCCTCCTCCGAGCCCTTGTGACTACCAAGGGGGTGTGTCCCGGGGGGGTGTGGGCCAGAGGGAGGGTGAGGTATCCCCAGCGAAGGTCCAGCCACCAGGTGGTACTCTGGGTTGTCCACACTCGTCTGGGGTGGGAGGAAGTCTGGGTTATAGTTACGCAAGATTCCGTTGCCTTCCACATGCTCGGCTGTTGAAACAAATACATTGTCAGAATTTTGGAACTCTCTTTGAAATATTTTATTTATTGAAATGTAATTGTGTGGATCCAAATAAATTACTAGAAGGTATGCTTTCACTTCCAAAATAGTTTAATTGTTGAGGATGGATTACTTCAACCATCTAAAACGTTGGCCAGTATATTTGCCATTTTAACAATACAGTCATCTCTTGCAGACCAAGCTTTATAACAATCAATATAAATACTACTTTTGTATTCACAGTGAGAATGTGCAGCATATTTTGTACTGCAAAATGTGTCCATTTTTAGTATTTGTATCTATGAAACAACTTGTACTGATAAAGTAATAGAATTGAGGAGTTTTGCAATCATATAAAGGTGATTTTACAAAAATGTTAAACTAAGAAGAAATTTGTATGTAATGTAACACAAACAAACCTGGCAGTTTGGAGTCGCCAATCAGGTCCATGTAGGTGGAAGGAGCCTGGCTTTGCTGAGGAGAAGGCATCAGGTAGTCATCCTCATCTAGAGGCAGTTCCAGCTTGAGGGCTCCAACTTGGGCCTCCCGTTTGCCAGAACTGCTCCCGTCGTCCGTCACATCTGGAGATACAAGAGGTCTTGGTTATGATCAGGTGAGTAAAGTACAAACCGTTAAATAATTTGATTACAATTTAACTAACCATTTTACATGCATTGGAAAGCTGTACCAATTATAAATTATGTTAGTGGCAATATGTTGAAAAGTAACATTTTGTAAATAAAAAAAACCTAATGACACACAGAAAACACAACCTGATCCGCCATAAAACAATTGCAACATTGTTGAAATGGTTGTGTCATAGTTTTAAAATCAGATTCGCTAGTGTCACAGAGATTAATGATAATGATATTTTTAGACTAAGTCAAGTTAAGAAGGATGAAGTGCTGTCACAATATACAATAATATATTGATACAATATCACATGACCTATCACATTGAAGGCTGGATTAAATGACAAAGATAGGACACTCCTAATCTCCAGGTAAAACAGTTGGTACAAATCTACTCCATTACATACTTAGGTTATTCATATACAAACTTAGAAATTAAACATGTACAAATTCATAGCCAATGGCATTGATCCCTTTTGACATGTCATTTGCATATATCATTTCCCACAGTCAGAAGATAGCGCTTTCACCGGTGATCAACCACATTGCAAAGTGAAGCCTACCTTTATGCAGAGACTCGCTGCAGTATCTGCCAGGCTGGTGAGTGTGCGGGTCTGCTGCAGCGTACCTCAGCATCTCCCTGTCCCAGTTGGTCTGGTTTTGAGGGGTGGGGGAAGGGTGGGGAGACACCCTCTGAGGCTGTAGGTACTCCTCTGTGTCCACCCCCTCCGTCTCCCCAACCACTCCTCCGCTACTTTTCTCCTCCTGGGAGCCGTGGCCGAACTGTGGAACAAGCAGACAATCAGTACTTCTGAGAGAGGTTTGTAAATAGCGCTTTCGCAAGAAAACAAAATATAACATTAGATTTTCTATAGTATCTTTTATGAGGTAACAATAAATATTGCAATAACAATAAATCAAAGAGGGAAATATCATTTTATATTAAATATTTTAATATTTATTCCATATGGCTCATTCAACTGTGTTTGTTTATTAACAGCTGGTTCATATAGATGGAAGGGCGATTACAGTATCCGTATCCAAAAGTCGATGCAATAAAATATTGTTTATGTCACTGATAGATTTTAAGCTTGTTTTGTGACTGAACATTGCTTGTTGCATTTTTTATGTTTTAAGAAGAAATAAGTCTTATTCTTACTCACAACAGTTAGAACTAGAACCTAATAACAATGAGTAAATGGTACCGTATTTAGATTCACAACATGTTTCTGGAATCTTAAAAGTCAAGTTTTATTGCAGCATGTAAACCTAAAGAGAGGCAAGCACTGAATATCAAGATTATCCACTCACCTGGCTAGAGTACGAGGGCAGCCTCATGAACCTGTCCCCGTGAATGACTAGGTAACGGCCAGGGTCTCTGGCCATCTTGGCGAACTCATCGGCCAACTCCTTGAATGTGGGTCTACTCTCTGCGTCCAGCATCCAGCACTTGATCATCAGCATGTAGACATCAATGGTGCAGATGGAAGGTTGCGGAAGACGCTCACCTTTCTCCAGCAACTCTGGGACATCCCGCGCTGACACTGACTCGTACGGTCGACCTCCATAGGTCAACAACTCCCATACTGTCACACCTAGTGACAACAAACATATGAGAAAGGAAGAATAAGCAAGAATATATCTTGAAGTTTTTAAAGGGATGAAGTTCAGCTATAACTTACTTAACTGAGTAAATTGAGAATCATTAAGGAAATTGACAGGAAAGCAGGCTTACCTTTAAATAAGTCCATAGAGACACATAAAACATCACAAAATTAAAAGTAGAAATTTTCGTGGTCACTGACCACTTTTTCAACCACTGGAGATTGGAGAAATGGCAATGGCAGTTGCAATTCAGATTCAGATTCAAATTGCAACTGCCATTGCCATTTCTCCAATCTCCAGTGGTTGAAAAAGTGGTCAGTGACCACGAAAATTTCTACTTTTAATTTTGTGATGTTTTATGTGTCTCTATGGACTTATTTAAAGGTAAGCCTGCTTTCCTGTCAATTTCCTTAATAATTCCTGGCAAATGCCCTATCTTTTTATAAGATAAATTAAGAATCAATTGGCTAACAGATACATTAGTAGGTTGTAAAACCTTAACACTGGTATTTCTTCTTTAGATAGTAGATTGAAGGAAAATATAAATCTGTATTAAAATTTTAAAAAGATTTTTTGGGAGCTCGATTGGATAAAATAATACATACTCAGCCTAATTTCAGGATATTGATTATACAATAATATAAGATATATGGATTAGACACTTACCGAACGCCCAGACATCGCTCTTGTGAGTGAATATCCTGTGCTGTATACACTCCAGAGCGAGCCACTTGATTGGCATCTTGCCTCCAGCAGCTTTGTACTCGTCTTCGTTGATGTCCAACAGCTTGGCGAGACCAAAGTCTGTGATCTTGACACAGTTCGGCGTCTGCACCAGAACATTCCTAGCAGCCAGGTCTCGGTGGACTAGACGCTTCTCTTCAAGATGTGCCATTCCTGGAAATATTGTGAATTTTGTGAATAACTGTGAATAAGTTTTTTCCTAAATATCCTCCAAGAGTCAATCAAACGATTCAAAATGTTTAAATGTAATGCTGTTTATGGATGGAATCACCAAATTTTGGAGTAGGACTCACAAACTACAACACAACTAGGGACAGGGGCCTTGGTTTTAATAATTAGCAGGCTTGCCTAAATGGGTAAGTGTCCACTCTGGCACAAGAAACACAAAATCCATCTTTCATGTTTCATGCTATTCCCACAAAATAATCCAGTTATGGAACTGTTGCCATTCTTAAGTTCAAGATGGTGATTTTAGTTGTAAATAAATAAGGTTCATCTGAACCTGATTGTGCTGAGTGCTGAGTAATGTTCGATGAGTTATAAAATGTACTTCTGTGTTTGTAAGGCAATTTGAGAAGATTTCAAAAAGGATTTTTAAAGATTTCAACATAGATACAGCTTTTAATTTTTTTTAAAATTTTGTTGGACATGTTTCAAACCACTGTCAACATACCTCTTGCGATCTGCGTGCACCAGTTGAGCAAAGGCTTGGACCCGATCTTCTCCCTGTTGTTTCTCACATAGTCCAAAAGACATCCCAGGGGCATCAGTTGAGTCACCAGCATCATGTTGGATGTCATACACACGGCCAAGAGTTGCAACAAGTTAGGATGTTCTACACTGGCCATGATGTACGCCTCCTCTAGGAACTCCTTGCTGGTGTTGGCTCCTGTACGCTCCCTCAGGACCTTGATGGCCACCGGTATCTTTACATTTTCCCCCTCAGGCAACCACACTCCCTGGAACATCCAATAACTCCATTAGAACAAACGAACAAACATTGGTGGATGTAATTTTGAATTAATCTAAAATTTTCAACTAAGTATCAATGAAGTTTGTGCAAATTACACACAACTAACTCACCGAAGAAACGAGTCCCAGTTAGTCACTACGAGTCACTACTGTTTTCAGAAGGAAGTGGAGGAATGAACTGCTAGGAAATCTTTTCTTATGTGAACTAGTTGTGTATCTGTATGTACAGTATTCCTAAGCCAAGTGCCTTTTCCTCCAAAAAACTGTGCAAGTTCTAAGTAATTCTAAGTATTTGTTTTGACTATTATAGTGTGTAACTTGTTGTCATCACACAATATATAATCCTCATCCAGAATAATTGAACTGTAATCACAAGCATTTTTACTCTGCAACAAAACTTGGTTGGCAAATTATAAAGATTTTAACTAGAAACTAATAATATGCGTGCAAAATCATAATATCTTGATTATAAAATGTAGGTGATTTAAAAACCTTCAACATACCCTGTAGACAGTTCCAAATGCGCCGAATCCCAAGACACCTCCTTTCCGCAGCTCTGCCTCCTTGACAATCCGCAACTTGGCCAGGTTAGGCTTGACGTTGGTTGGTCTGAGAGGTTCATCTAAGCCTTGCAGCACCATGGACATCTTCACTGCATTATCCTTGGCCTTCCCCTTGCGCCACTGCCATCCGATGGCCAGCAGAAAGATCATCAGGAGAAACACACAAACCACCGCTCCGGCGAGTATGGCTGACAACTGGTCCGTCTCATGTCTGGAAATGTGATGGCTGTGAGTTAAATCTTATAGGGTTTTGATGAAGATAATGCTAAACTATGATGAAAAATTATATGGTTGATTTGAACATTGTACAGTTCAGTCAGCTGAGATTTCTTCATGTGGCTTAATGTTACATATACAAACTGAGGGAACAGATACAGTTTTGTCTTTCATCAGGAATGGATCTGATTCTAGATATCTAATGCTAGACGCTTTGTATGACTGTAAGAAAATGCTAAAAATATTAAAAGGGCATTTTCATTATACTTTGTCTTTCTCAATATATTTAAAATGCCTCGATGGCCTTGCGAGTCTAGGAGCTGATGAGTTAGGTTCACTTTTACCAAGACTTTTGCCCTAAGCTTAAAGTGCTTGAAGTTACTATAAAATTACTAAGTTGACCATTTTTTTTTTAAATCTTAGTTTATAGACTACTCTAGGCGTTTTGACTATACTAACTTTGGGACGTAAAGAAACTCCTCCCGTTTTCAAGGCACTACGGTAACTATTGATCTACTTACCTATCTACCCTATCTAACCTAACCTAAGTTGACCAAGTAAAACTAAGTAAACACAAAGCTTACAAGTTTGTTAAAACTAACCTTGACGGCACTGCGTGTGGTTGACTCCAGCAGTAAGGATCTCCGTTGTCCAGAGGGAATATCTTGTAGGTCAGCTCAGCAGGACAGTTGGCCGTGCAGTTGAACAATGTGGAATTGTCCTCAGGGTCAACTCCAGGCTGTGAAAACGGTTAAACACCAATAAATAACAAGGCTAATAGTAAATATTCTATAGTCACACTTAACTATAAAATCACCATCTTAGTTAAAAACCTTGTGATATTATAGGTGATCTGAGCTAATGTTTCAGCCTCGTTTGAGACTGCCATCTTCATAGCAGTAACGGAAAATTTCAAAAATAAGGCTATAGGAAATAATGATACTGTATCAATTAACGCTAGCTGAACTTACAGGAAAGATCTTGTAGTTGCGACAGTTGTAGCAATGGTTACTATCTGGTCCATAGCAGCCTCTACACTCTATGTGGCAAGGAACACACTCCTGTGAACGATCATCAGCGAAGTGGTCAGCCGGACACTCATCTTCACACTGCTCCCCTCGTTTGTAGGCACTGCATTCTTGACACACCTATAACATCAAGGTATACTGTCATCTTTTCCACCCAAAAATTAAGTCAAATTCTTTTTATCATTCCACCTCATCTCAAATACCGCAATAAAATTAATCAATTAATGTGACTAAAACCTTTCATAGCAAACCAACATACAAAGGCAGAGTTTTGTCTATGTCTCCTGATTCCACAGACCTAATAACTAACCCTTTTTCTGTTTGCTTTGTTAGTTTTTTACTGTTCTACATAAAGTTCACCCTTTTGTTATTTCTGTGTATAATTGTTTTTCTTATGTTTGTTAAGACTGATAATTAATTACTGTAAATTTTTTTATTATGTAGACATGTTATGTAGAATAAACAATTCACACATTCATTCATCTTTACTTCTCATTTTAACATTTATCTTAGGTGTGAGGTTTACCTGTTCATGGAAGCCGTAGCCGGTACATCGACGACACCTAGGATGACACTTGCGGCAGATAGCCTTCCCTGCGAGTGGCTTGAGTGCGCCTTGCTCCTGTGGCAGCACCCACTCATAGTAGTAGCCATCTGGACACGACTCATTCCTCTGGAGACACCTCTCCTATAAAACAAACAATGTTGACGTGTGGTGCTATTTAATGTAGCCTTTTGATCATTCAACTAATGAAATAATGTTGTGACATATGAGAGATTACACTGAATATATGCAGGATAGATTATAGGTAATCGCAGGCCTGGGGCTCATCACGCAACCATTTAACGTGGTTTGGCCCCGAACAAAATTGTCCCCCCCCCCTTCCTTGTGGGGGAGTTTTTCTCTCCCTTGCGTTTTTAACAATCATAAGCCTCTTGGGGCCCTGTATAATCAATGTTAAACAGCTCTACTCTAGAAGCTTTAAACTTTGATGAAATAACAATATTGTGTTATTGTTTTTTTTGTGAATTTATTAGTCACTGAAATATAATTGATCCACCAGCTGAACTCTATGCCTCTAAAGAAAATCTTCAGTTTTAAAATTTAAATGAGAGCCAAGTGTCTGATTAAGAATTCTTCTGAAAAGGGACAGCTAACTTACCTTAGAAAATTAGAGTGCAGTGGCTAATAGATCTATTAGTGTATCCATTAACCCATAGAGTCTAATTCTTTCAGGTACAGTAAGCTAGCTGACCTCTAAACCTTTTTCATTTTCTCCACAGTATTGGAGTGAAAATATTTTGTATTCTTTTACGCAAATACATCATAAATAATATATAAACATTTTCTACAAGATTACTACTTGGTTGATTATCAACCAACCATCTAGAAGGTGGAAAAACTCACCACAGACGCGTCTTCGTTGATGATCGCCTTCTCGCAGGAGTTGCAGCCGTTGATGCTGATGGTGTTCTCCGGTCCCTGGCAGCCGTACACACAGTTGGGATGGCAAGGCTCACACACACCGTTGCGGCTATACTTGCTGCTGGGACAGAACGGAACACAGAACGGACCGTCTCGCACGTTCTTGCAGCGAGAACAGTTGCTGGCTCCCGGACCCTTGCAGGTGGACTCACACTCTTGATGGCACGGCATGCACTTCTTGTGGTTTGCTTTGTACATTCTGAAAAAAAAAAACAATAGATTAGTAATTTAATGACAGAATATAAAACACTACTTCAAGGAATTTTGGAGGACAGAGCACTTGGCTTAGAAAGAAATGTTAAGTACAAGTATTACATTAAATTAAACTCATGAAGTTTAATTTCTTCTGAATAAGTCTCCTTTTAGAGGTTAAATATAACGTTGGGTGTTATCAACTGCTTGGAACTCTTTTCCAATGTAAGTTAGTTGTGTATTCATTCCCTTTACCCTAAGCTCCATTGTTATATTATATGGTAAAAGAGTGACTTCAAGCCCTAGTGATGAAATCAATTAACTTGTTATTGCAAACATATAGAAAAAGTAGTTTCTAAATGATTGACAGTTCTGGAACACTTCTGGATATTTTTTGGCCCTACTGATATACTGTATGTGTGTAGCCCGCAAAGGTATACAATGGGTTGATAGCCAATTTTACACGAATAGTACAAATTTCAACCTTTCTCTATGTTTAACATGTAAACGTACCCTGGGCCACAGTCCTGTAGACAAGTGTTGTTGAACTCGTAGTTGCCACAACTCAGACACTGGTCTGGTCCTGGACCCCAGCATCCCTCGCTTGTACACTGCTCATCACACACCAATCCCTCCTTGATGCAATCCTCGTCCCTCTTGTTGTTCTGCAGCAGAGTCCCGTGCTCGCCCGACTTCTTGATCCTCTTCCAGTCAACTCCTTGCGCAAAGCACAGCTCTTTGTTTTCCAAAATTGCGATGCTTCCCGAGTGAATCTTTTTTAGGGATCGTAAGCCTAAGGATTTCAGCGACGTTTTCACAATGTACAGCGAGGCAAAGTATTCAGTCAGGGTTCTTCCTCCAATTACTTCCAGGTTTCTGAAAATGGAAAAAAATTGTCACCCATGGATTCTTTAAGTTCTCATAGAGAAATAGAAAATCTGTTTTGAAACGTGTGTATTTTTTACTCTCAGTAGATTAAGTTTTGATTCCCTCAAGACTTTATAAGCAATCTACTCCAGCAGCTTGGATTAACTCCAAACTTCCAAATTATTGAAGCGTAATCAAGCACAGCTCTATTCAGCAAACTAAAAGCAAACCATCATGTAATACTCTCTAACTTAGCTGACATGTTAAAAATTAACCATTTTATACATAATCTGGACATGATCAATTTATATTGGTGTTATTTAAACTATAACAACAATATTTTTCAAATCTATCAACAGAAGTGTAACCTTGACATTAAACACCAGTGCACGAGAGTCCAATATTTTTATAAAAATCTCAAAGATAACATTTCAATCTTGACTTACCGGAAATACGAGAGGTTTTTGAAGTCCGGATGAGATCCTTGGATACTAATGTATCCAGTGACTTCCTTTAGGGTGCTGAACACTTCCAGCCGATCTGGATGCATTTTCTGGTAACGCTCGCCGAAGCTGTAGTTGGAGTAGACCTGCTGGAACCCCTCGAAGGACTGGTCCAGGATGAGGATGTATCCTTCGATGACGGTGCAGTCCTTGAAACTGTCAATGTTACCAGAATGGATGATCTGGTTGCTCTCGCACATCTTGGGGCAGGGACCGTCACACAGGACACATTCACCGTTCACAGCCTGAACAGAACATTGTTGTTAGTCTTCAGAATGTGATAAAAACTGGTGCAGATGTGTAGAGCATATTTGGTTGCTGCACCAATCACCTCATTGAGGGACACCGGTGCTCGTTGAAAATAACTCTGTAGCAAATAAGAGCAATACTGCTAAGGGAAATTTTGTAGATGCAAAAATACCTATGGAAGACAGATCGAAGATAGGAAACAAAAATGAAAGACCATTAAATTGTGGCCAGAGGTTACAACGGATATGGAAAATCTTAGAGTAGCATAAATTATGGCGTTCCTAGACATGTATTGCCATATTTGCATTTCTTCTAATATGGAAAATTGAGAATGAATGATTTTTAAATTATTTATTTCCCATTTTTTATCCCAGGACGCCAGGTTCTAGCTCGGAACTGTTTTTACACATTACTTTCGGCGAGTCTTATAGGGCTGCAGTGTTATCACATTATTGGAAGGATTTGAACCCAGGACCTACAGCTCCAAAGTCCCACGCTCTACTTCTAAACCAGCTCGCTCCCCATGAATATGTTGTATGGGATTTTAAATTATGTTATGTCTTAACCAAATACTTCATCATTCCAATACTTATATTTTGAAAAAAGTATGCTTTAATGCTTTCTTTGTATGGTAAATATGTCACTCATTATATCACATTATGTAAACCACACTAACCTTTTTCTTTGGAGGGCAGGACCGTACGCAGGCGCCGTTGTCCTTCAGTAGATGTTCTGGGCAGTTCTTGACACAGGTTGCCCCATAGGCATACTTGCCCAGAGGGTTGGTCTCCCAGGAGTATGTGATGGGGTTGTACCTCTGCATAGCGGGGCACTCCTGAGTACAGACCCCGTCGTCGTAGAAGTTACGACACGCCTGTACATACACACAAATGAGACTAGATAAATGAACAGTGTTGTGATTGTACTCACTGAAAATAAATTAAATTCTAGCATAGCAAACTGTGACAAAAATCAAGATGAAATGTTATTAAGAAGAAAATATGAAAATTTACTCACCAAGCAATCGCTCTGTTTTGGTCCTGTGCAGCCCCCGGCACAGAACAGGTGACAGCACTCGCGGGGCTTCGGACCAAAACACCTTCCATCGGAACATTGCGGACTGCAGTTCACTTTTGAAAACCTGTAATAAATATTAAAATCATATTAAGAAATAGCAATATTTTAAGTTTAAACCAAGATAAATATGAGTCTTCAAATAAAGATCTTTATAAAAATAAAATGGTAGGATACTGTAAAATATTTGATTGTTGTACATATCACTGAAAAAGATAAGAATATCTATGAAAGCTTTTGGAAATCTTGTGAAGTTTTAATTTCATAAATGAAATCATACCTCAACCTCAAGTTTTTGGACAATTATGTCTCCCGGGCTTAAATACTGTAATTAAATAAGATATAAAAACTCACAAACTATTAAGAATGTTGTGGTGGAAGGGTTTAACTTACTGACAAAAATAAATGAAAATGTAAAAATAAACACGCTACAATAAGTTAACAAATATACAAAAAGGTAGCATTTTCAGTAGTAGCGCCTTTCTCTACCTATCCACCACCAAAAACCTTAAAAATCCTGACCTGAGGCCATCTTTATAAACAAATTTTACTATAACTATTCAGATTGCCTATATAGAGCAGCCTAGAAAAGCTATTCATATATCCGCTTAAATAATAATTTAAAAATTGTACTACAAAACCTTTCACTACGTACCTCTGACAGTTGTCGGGTCCCTCGCCCCAGCAGCCTCGCTCGCAGCTCTTGTCGCACGGTGGACACTCTCTCTCCGGAAGTGTGAAGTTGTAGACGTACATGAACTCCGCTCCCGGTCCCGTGATGATCTCGTCCCAGTTGATGGTCTTCATGTGACAGAGGTTGTAGTTGTTGAGCATCGCTACACTCCCTTGTAGAATGTCTGCAAGAGATGAAGAATAGTTTAAGTCTTGGTATTCATCATACATACTTGATGTAGTAAATATATGATATACACTCACCTCAAGTAAAAGCCCATGGTGGTTTTCATTAAAAATATAGCCTAACTATTTCTCCAAAGGGAACTGTTATGAATAGTTGCAGCAATGTCTCTATAGATTTTAAATCAATTCTGAAATAGTTTAATAAAAGGTGTGTAGGAAATGTAATGTCTCTTGTGGAACAACATTAGATTATAGTTATTTGTGCAACTAGTGAGAAAAGTGAGCAATTGACTCACTCGAGAGAAATCCTTACTCACGAGCCGTAGGCGAGTGAGGAATGGTTTCTCGAGTGAGGCAATTGTACTTTGAACTCGAGTTGCACATTATACTTTCCCTACAGTTACCATAAAACAAATAAATTTGTGAAGAAACATAACCTATTTTTACACAGAAGTGAACTTTTAACATAACATTTAATGTGAAGTGACAAATACAACAGTACAACAGCTGACCAGCTGATTTACAGCCAGTGATGCCAACGTATTTCGCGCGCATACGACGTTGCCTGCATGTTACGCGTTCACTATTTCGTGCCTTCACGTTGCAAATCTGGAGTGAGACAAAGTAATTAGAGTGAGACAATGTTAACATTGTCTCACTGATGAGCGAATTGGCCACTTTGCTTTCTCAAATCAGTGAGAGAACATGTACATTGTCAGGTAACTGTAGGAAAAATTTATATAACACCAAACACCAGACATCTATGAAGGTAAAGATGAGTAAAAGATGGGAGTTGTATGAATCAGATGACAGCTTTTTTACCGACTATGATCAGGCAGATCTTTAGCCCAATGATCAAGGACAGGAATTTTAAAAAATGACGTTTTACATTTGTATAAACGGTAGCTGCAAAGTTATAAAACAGTATCCATCACCACCATATATAATCATAAGTGTGATTCACTTTAAGTTGGGAATAAAAAAGATTTATTTATTGTCAATGCTATACAGTACCAAGTTGGCGCAACAAACATTAATAAGAGTGACAGAGTCATGTCATATCACTCGTAAGCAATCAGTCCTAGTTTGGTTGACTCATGAGTGATAGTTTTCCAAGCAACAGCTGTGACACTGAAAGCGAACTTATCACATGAACTGGAATGGAAATTATACAATAAATTAGAAATGAAAAACTACTTTCAACAATATTCTACAGCCTACAGCTTCATTTTATTGGCTCTCTGGATCAGAAACTTGTATGACTTAAAATGTAGAAGGACGTCGCTTTTAGCCTACCTCTGAGCATAGGCATCTCCAGATTGTGCATCTTTGACAGTGTGACCAGCAAGGCCCACTCGTTGGGATAGTTGTTGAGCTTGAACAGAGTCCGTCCTCGGATGATCTGCAACCTCGGCAACACGATGCGTCTCACATCCACGTGGGAGATGAGAACGTAGCCAGTCACCTGACAAACACATCCGGTTAAACATACAAACTTAGACAATTGGTCAAAACAATTCACTTTTAGATATTTAAGTACATATTCCATCTATGGGCCAGTTGCAGCCAATTTTCTTGTAAAAAAGAACATAGTTGAAGAGCTACTCCCAGAGTGAGCTGCAAAAAGTGTTATTTCTAGTGATAGCCTTCTATGATAATCTGACTGCCATACTTATAAGCTAGCCTTTCACTTTGGCTTGGTTATAAAGTTGGCGAATTCAACAGAAATCATTAATTTACATCAGTAATATCTGATGGAAGATATGTCCATTTTACATGTTATCAAGGTAGTGAAGACACTTCTCCTTACCTCTCTGATGTACTGTAGGAAACTGAGGTCCATGTGTTCGTCCTGCAGCCATGTCAGCTCCAAGTTGCCGTCCACATACGTACAATTGGTGTACCTGTTCTGAAGATTGCGGTAGTGGTGGTCCCTGTTGGACGGAACTGACATTCGCCCGTTCGTCCCGATACATACTGCAACAAAAAATATCATTGTTACTTGAGTTCAATCATGTCGGAAGTTTAGGCGAACACATCAGGTCAACAGCAGATTTGGAAGATGAAGAAAATAAAAGATTATCTTACTATAGGTCGGCCGCTTAGAAAACAACCTCCTCCAGCATTGGTTTAGCATTAGCGCACAGGTCGTTTTCTAAGCGGCCGAACTATAGTACACCTTAAGAGTATCACTCATTATCATTATTTTTAAGACTGCAATGTCACCTAACTTTGCAACTTTCAGTCGAGATGAGAGTAAAATGGGGTTTGGCGATCTGTGTTAATGGCAGCTTTGTTAATGAGTAAGATTAACTGTTTCTTTAGTCAGGATAATTAGCATCCCCATGATCAAGGACAGCTGTGTCCAGTTTCAAAGCTTCAAAACTACTAGATTAACCCTGTATCAGTTCGGCGACTTTCTGATTGTTAGATGAGCACTAACCATAACCATTGTCTTTTAATAGTGCAAGAAGACTTCTCATTCTATAGCAAAATCTGAAGACTCTTGTGTTTGTGTTTTATGTTGGTAGAGTTCGCTGTCTCCTGTCACTGAGTGTGTGGCAAGAGTGTAGAGTGGACTAAATGTTTTTTTTTTTCTTTTTAAGATAGATTCTATAAATTTCCAATTGTGCTTTACTGTAAAAGGCCATGAGGACAACATATTGCTTGTGAATAGATCGTTTCATTTGGTTAAAATCATTTTAAAATAGGTCAAAGTGCAACAAATAGTAAACAAGAAAGTTTCCTATACAAACCGGACAAGACGACCCTTTAAATTGAGTTACTAAAAGGGTGATAAATTCATTAGATAGAATTTTCAACATATGCCATAACCTATAGGGCTTGTTCATTTAATTTGTCTAGTACTATAGTTATAGTGCACAAACAGGATGGGTAGTACGTGAAATAAACCTTGGAAAAAAAATACAAGATATATGACAAAGGCGAACAAATAGCACGCAGGTGTTGGCAAGCCTGAGGCAGCGACTATGGCGATGGCGGCGAAGCTGCTGCTGCTCCACGGAGGTTCATTGCGTGCTGCGTGCTCAGTCCCAGTCCCAGTCGACACCGACTCGCCGCAATTTATTTGGAATCCCGCATGCTGCTTTGATTTAGTGTAATTGGTTATAACTGGTTATTTGTCCCTTTCCAGCAAAAAGGCGAACGCTAATCTCTGATAAAAATGTTGCTCGATGTCAAAATGTGAAAGGAAGTTTTTGAGTTGCTGGAAGTCGGAGAAAAACGGGGTTTCATTATGAGAAATGTCAATATTTTGAGCACAAAGCTAAGGCGTATTTAAACGCAAATATGGTTGGAAGATCAGTGAGGGATAAGTAATTATTACTGATTATGGTCAGTAAAAAAAGTAACTACTGAAGTTTTTTCTGATCGGATAGGATAGTAGGTATAGGCAAATTTCTAAAACAGTAGCATACAATGTCATTTCATCATTATTGTGGTTACGTGTGATCAGTTAGTGTCATTACAATTTGAGTTGTTCATTTTGAGTAATGTATACTTGTATTTATCTGTGGCAAAATAAATACAATAAAATAGAATGTAAATTAGGTAAATTAGGAGTGTAAATTAAGGGAAATAGGTCCTATATCATAAGTCGGTGGAGTTCTGGGAGGACTTATATAATATATATCCTCCTAGGTGGAGTTGCGCTATCAACCGCTCGTTTCCACACAAGTAGTGAGTACAGCTTGTTTGTTTCACGTGGTTGCATAACAATATATTGTTAAGATCACATGTTTATTGTAGCTATTGCTATTGTTACTTGTTATTGTACACATTAATGTTTCCTCGTCTTGCAGCCTCGTGACTCATCCAGTTGTACGACTACAGCCTACAATCAGGATCCTCAAGGTCGAATAAGGCAACGCAATTTCCAAGATCATAGGAATAGCATTAACACGGACTTTGGTAGTTAATCCAGTCTCACACCATACAAGGTCCTTCTCGGTCACAAACTATAATGGGATCTACATAGAATGTCCGATGGTTATACCCACACAAGTGGTATCTAAGTTGCGGAAAACACGGTTACGTAATAATCCAGCTTCATCCAGCAAGTTGTCAAACTAGCTAAGTTTGGAATGCTAACTTTGAAATGATTAACGAGCCGAGATATTTCACCGAATATTCCGAGAGTCGCCGTCAAATTTACTTGCACGCTCCATCGATCAAACTCATAACGATGGATATCAAAGAATGTAACGAGTAAAAAGTTGGAAGGAATCCTGGAATAGAACTTGAAAAGATGGGATAAACGTCTTGGCAGACCAGAAATGCGGGATGCCGGAGCCGGAGCGGGGTTTGAAGTTATTGAATCGTGGTCTAATGTTGACGGACGGAAGATAGTATCGCGGTCCGGTCCGTCGGTCCCTGTCTAGTGTCGGTCCGTTCCTTCGTTCCTCGCCCAGAGACACTGGAATGCCGGATCTGAGGAGATGGAGGTGATGCACAACCTTACCTACCACCTGCTCGGCGACGTTTAAGTCGAGGAAGAAATTACGTAAATGTAGTTAATTGGCTACAATCCCATAGACGTCGACCTTATAATATCGATTTAAACATATTTTTACCATTCGCTTGTGCAACTAAGATGAACATGTTAACTCGACATGATAACTTGATGATAGTCTAAGCTTTCTCCATACTCAATAGTATTTTGTACGTTTATGTAAAGAAGCGGTCTGGATCCTTATCTAGCCATCAACGATAACCCTTTATTCTTTATCTTCTTGATAGTCAGATCAAGACAAACGGCATGACAATGACTGGGCGGGCACATAATCAACCCAGTTTGGGACCGAACCAGCAACATTCAAATCATAAGATTTGTTGAGTTAAGGTCTATATCAACTCAGCCAACCATACAATTGGCTTCATAAACATTGCCTCCAGGATACCGAATATCAGCATGGAGGTGTGGTCTTCTCTTGTAATATAACAATTACGAGAAGTAATGTGAATTGAAGAATAGTGGATTTTCAAACAGCTAGCTACTCTCAAGTATAACCAGGCCAGTTCAGTACCCGACCTGGGTGCGCGAAGCTGTGCAAGCTATGTCGTACACTCCGCAGTAATAACTCGTGATACGACGACCAGCTGTCGTCATACGACGTCCAACAGATCGCAGCACAGATAAACAAAGATTACCAGTCCGGGAATGCAGTTAGTTCTCTGATAAATTATAAACGCTATTTATTCTTAGCGTTAATCGACGAGAAGAATCCACCGGGCGATAAAAATTCCCTGGGTGGATTAGCAGATGAAATGTCGCTTTCCTTGAAGCTTCTTCTTCGACTTATCCGCGACAAAGACGCATGTGCCCGCGGAAATGTATCGCGCTCGCCTGTTGTTAAGGGATAAGTAGTACGGACGACCTGATAATCTGCTGTATTTATGATATAAATTGCTGCGACTAGAGATAAGTAGGGTTTACGGCGAGTTATGAGTTTGCGCTAACGACTTGAGCTAAACAACGCGAACGTGTGAAGAACCTGGCTTGGCTGACTCATGACTCGACTAAGGGAATCTCACGGCAGAGGGGAGAGATAGAGGTCATAAGTTATAGTGTTTGCCAATAATACAGTTTGATGTTTTATATTCACAAGGCGAAAGGCCTCGTAGTCGACTATTCTTGCTACTGTAAATTATTCTCGTCAATATATGAAGACCCTGAATTCACTTCATAAACTACCAATGAATTGAGAATACAATGTCAGTATATAGTCTCAGTTCTACCCAAGGATATTATTCGTTCGGATTTTTCTCTAGTTAACCCCAGTTAGATCTCTCAATTGACGAAATCGTGTGCATTACCGTACGTTGCGATGTCGCGGATGCGATTAAATATCTCAATATCCATGGACCGCATCACGTCCTTTGCGGAAGGGAGCAACGGTGGCTGCTACTTCCGGTTTGACAGTTTCGCCGTTTCCGGTGGTTGCGGAAGTCGCGAGAGTTGGTCAATTAGCAACACTAATCTGCAACATCCGCGGCGATCTGTCCAAGCAGTTTGTCAACTTAATTAAAATATGTAAGAAAGATCGAATAGTTGGGAGACGAGAAAAGGTAAGCAGTTAGACTGAGTGGATATATCTGTTGGGTTGTACGACAGTGCGCAGATACACTGATAGTCAAGAAAAGTAAAAACATTTAATCAACGTAGAATGTATGGAAAAATAATATGCAAAACGTGATTTTAGTATCACGTGAAATGTTATCACAAATGGTTGCGAATCCTGAGACTATCCCGGTTGTAGTTCAAATAACGAGTATGTGCATTCAAAAAGCCAACACAAAGGGGCGCGGTCAACCACCAGGGAGCTAAAGGTCATTTTCATCAGAACTAATGGGGAATTCACGGATAAAATACGTAAATGGCAAAAACATTCTCATCTGTATCGCAAAGAGAAATACCAACGCGCGAAGAATGCCAAGACCGCGCGCTCTTCCCTGCGTCTGCGGTTATTAGGAAACCCCATTATCTGCATTTAATTACTTTCTCATTTTTCGTAAATTCTTCGTTTGAAATTCTCAAAGAGATTAATCACACTGATAAGTAAGCTCGGCGTTGGATACATCAAAGAGTGCTATTCAAATACCTGGAATAAAGATTTAGTATTGGGCCACAAAAACATAGCTCAAGAAAATTCAATCAACAACAGACCACATAGACAACTATTGAAGGCAACACAACTTAGACCCAAGCAAACTTATATCCCCTTTTGGTTCGAGAGGTTAAAATACTGTGCTAGAAAGCGAGCAGTCGAGGCCACTTTATAGACAGAGCTTTCTATAAGACGGCGATCAGATAAGTGGTGCGCATAAACTGAGACTGCGCCGTGGACTGCCTGGAGCATTGCGCATGCGCGGCCGGCAACCATACAACCTCGCCGCGCTGGCTCCACAGTCTACGTGCTAGATAGATAACATACAGAGTGATCGTAAACTATGGTTAA